CTCGCAGACCCGCGGGTGCACGTGAGGATGGTGAAAGGGGAATCCAGGGTCTTGTATGGCTGCGGAGACTGGACTCGCCCCTGGGACTAGCGGGAGGAGGATTCCCCTAAGGGCTCTTCCCATCTTGGCATGGGAATGGCTTGCTGAAGGATCTGCCTGAGGTTTGGCCCCAGGCGTGAGTGGGAAGATGGGATGAGTGACAGGTTTGTGAATTCATTGCTTTGATCTTGGCCTGGACGTGGAGCATCTAATGGGAGCCTTAAATCTCTCCGCTTCCTAAAAGCAAGCGGCGAGAGGTGCTTGAAAAATCCCTGCTTTGTCCCTCCCAGAGTTTCAGAGCGAGGACTGTGATCTCGGTACTTTCCTAGGAAACTAGGGGCCTGGCCAGGACTCCTGCAAGTGCCCAGCTACTCCAGGCACAAAAGGGCACTGAAATGGGCAGTTTCTGCTCCTAGCTGTTGACTCTGCATTTGTGTAAATCCTGACTGCTCCCCCCGCCCCCATCTGCTTGTGGGTGTAACAGCTTTGCATCTGCCTGGCTCATAGCCCACTTCGGTGCCGTGAGAGGCTCCTGTCGTCCTTCCCCTGGGCTGAGCAGTGTCTGCTGTGTGGCTAGCTGCCTGGGGTTAAGACAGGCTTTGGGGTGGAGATATTGTCACCCCAGGCTAATCTGCCGCTTTCTGGTAGCGGAGAGGGACAATGGGAGGTGAGGTGGCATAAGGAAAATTAAGCTAGCTTGGAGCATGTGATGGTACAGCCCCAGCAAGGCATGAGCTCGAGGGGGAAGGGGAGAGGGAAGAATGTTTCATCATGTAATCAAGGAGTTGAACTTCTCGTGGGTAGTCCAGCAACCTCCTCTCTGGACAAGCCTGCACGACTTTTGCAAAGGGTCAAAGCAGCTCCTTTAGAGGAGGATTGTGGAGCCGTGATGGGCAGGAACCAAAGACCACCTTGCTCTCTGAGGAAATCTGTGCCCAAAAGCTGTTCTTTGGGATTGGGCCGTTCCCTTGGAGCATCTTGTGCTTGGCCCTTTCTGCAGGAAGATCTGTCTCTCCGTTGCCTCTTCCATGTGAGCTGTGCTAGTCCAGGCCGGGTCCTGGGACGTCTCGGGGACAGTCTTGCCTGCCGCAGGACTGGCTGTTGGGGACGAAAGGGCACTGCTGAGAGTTTGAGAAGCTGGGGCAAAACCCAGCCGCTGGTCAGAGTGTAAATGAGAACTTGGAACAGATGGAGAAATGGGAAAATAGGTCAGGCTGCAAGCACAAAGGGATATTCTTCATCGGCAGTGACGCGTGCGGCTCCGGGCTGCTCTGGCCTGCAGGTTGCAGCCAAGGTCTGTGGGGGATTAAAGCAGCAGGGGCTTGGTCTGGGATCTGCTGGCTTGCCAGCCCCATGTGCCAGGACCCTGCTGGTGCTCACAGGCAGGCACTCGTTTATTCTCCATTTGGAGAAGAGGGCTACTGGAGGGCTGAGGCACCAGAGAGGAACGTTTTAGCATTGAGAAGTGATGTTTAAGCTGTATTTAGTGACGGTGCTTTCACACCCTTGTACATCCCCATGTTTCACAACAGCAATGGGGAGGGAAGCGGAGGGGTGATGGCAGCTCAGCTGCTAGCAGAGACTCTGCCGCGCTGATATTGGTGGGGCTCCTTGTGGCCCTGCCTAGCTGAAGCCTGGCTCAGTCATAGCCCAGGCTGTTGCCCCTCTTGGCCAGGACCTGAAAGAGGTACCCAAAATACTCAAAAACTGTGTTATGCAATTGCGCTGCCAGGAACAACCCTGAGTGCTCTCCAGCAAAAGGAGAACCTGTCTCCCCAGCGAGACGCTCAGCAGTAGATGTCCCTTCCCGGCAGGGCACTGGCCCCGTCTCCACTGGTGCTAGTGTGTCTGAGGCTGCGCTGGAACAACACGCTCTGCTTCCTCTTGTGTGTGTTTTGCTGGCAGCCAGCCCAGGCGTTGTTGCAGACCTGGATGTGCCGAGAGGTTTGAGTGAGATGAATGTATTGATGCACTCGTCTCCCCTGGCTGGGAACAACTCCCGTGGACTGGATGGCAGAGGAAAACTCTTATTTGCTGGCCTGGCTCACAAGCTGAGGAACAGCCCTGGTGGGCTTAGGGTCGTGCTGGTGACCAGAGAGATGCCCCTTGCTGCTTGGGGTAGTTTCTCCCTTTCCTGTCCAGAGGCCCCATAGAGCTCCTGGCCAGGGCAGGAGAGCTTGACAAGGGGAAGACGATGGAGAGGCAGAAACCCAAATTCTTGGGATCCCTGGTTTTCCACACCTCTCTCCTGCTCTCTATACTAAGTGATGTGAGGACTCTGTTGATTGAACCAGCATCCCAGCAGGCAGTTGTAGAGAGCAGGACCCTGCCTGGCTTCAAGGGCGAGGCAGGGTGCAGATGGTATAAACTGCTACAGCTCTGGGCAGTGTGGAGGAAGCATCTCCCCAGCCTGGAGATGCTCCCCAAACTAGGTCTGGTTCCCAGTGTCCCATCTCTAGAGATGGGCTGGACATGGTGCTCCCGTGTCCTCCTGTCCCTTCTGCCACAACCTGCTCTGCTCCAGCAGTTACAGGCAGAAGCTGAAAGTGTGAGTGGTTATAGAGCAACTTCTACCATCGCTGGGTTTGGAGAGCGATCTGGAGCCTCCCTCTGAGCACAGCATCTCTTTGTGCGTGTGTGCGCCTGCACGTGTGCGCACGGGATCCCACCTGAGGGAAGTACAAGGCAATGGCTCAAAGGCGAGGAGGTGCAATGACTCTCATTTGCATGTTTGCAGCATACAGGAGCAGCCTGTTGGCTCTGGCCTCTTGAGGGCTGCAAAGCCAGAGGCTTCTCAGCCCAAGGAGTCCGGGCTCACTTTGGAGCGGCGTAGCCGTTCGTCTGCGAATTAAGGAGGTTACTTTCTGAGGGAGTGTGAAACGTGCTACTCGGCAAGGGGTCATTTTGTTGACTGTGCAGCTGCTGCTCCAAGATGCTGTGTCCCCAGGCAGTAAATTGTTGTTGACTGTCACCAGCTCTCGCGGCTTTCACTTGCCAGTCCCAAATGAGCCACTGTTGACTGGCGCCTTCCCCAGGGTGAACTGGCTCTGCCGACCAGGAGGCTGCAGCAGCTTTCACAAGCCCCAGTAGACTACTGCTGTGTCGTGCACCCTTCTGGGCAGCTTGAGGTAGCCTTTGGGTTGACATGGCCGTGACAAGACTGCACAGTTCCACGGGCTCGTTGGTGTGTCCTCCAGGAGCAGCTGTTCCTATGTGCTGCCCCTCCTAGGATCCTGGCTGTGGGCAGCCAGGTGGAGCTCGGTGTGAGGTGGGAGAGTGCGAGCACCTGCGTGCCTGCTGGCCAGCCAAGCGCTCCTGCTCCTTCCTCCTGCAGAGACTCACTGAGCTATGTGGTCATGGTGCATCCATGAATTGACCTCATTTTCCCTTCTTTTCTTAGTTCACTCCTTCCTCCTTCTTGCGCATTGGGCAGCTGAGCAATGTGGATCTCAATGAGGACGTCCGTGAGCTGGTGAGTGGCACAGAAAGGGGCTAGCAGTTACTGAGTTTCCCTGCTGTGAAGTAACACATGGGAAACGCTCCCAGGGCGGTTTCAGCCCATAGGAGACCCCTTTCCTTCTTCCATTAACAGCACAAAGTGCTACTCTTTCTCCCCGCTTGTCCTGCTAGAGCTCCTACGTGGCCATCCTAGAGTAGAGCGCCGCAGTGTTTCCTCCCCCGGCTCAAGGCCAAGTGCTTGTGTGCATTGTGACCGAGTGGCTGCGGCATCACCCAGAGATCTCGCTTGGCTGAGCTCTATAGTGGCAGGGGAGAGCAGAAGAGAAGTAGTGGTCGGAAGCACAAGGGCCTCTTTAACCCCGGAGGAGTTCTGGTTTGAAGGGCTTGTTGGAGCTCTGAAGCAGAAGGAGACTCTTGAAGCTACCAAATAAGCGTCTCGGGGCTAAGCTCAGACTGGCTTGGTCTCCCTTCTTCCCTATGCTTTCTCTGTTGGACTCTATCCTCTCTCTTTTCTAGCTTCCCCTCTGTTTTCCTCTAGCCAGCCTCAGTAGGCGCCAAAGGGGTTGTCACCATAGGTGGAGCGTGGGTGGCTGGGGAGGGACCTGCACTCTGGGAGGCCAGCCAGGGCTCCTGGGCCGGCTTCCTGGGCTGGGTATGGGGAGCCTGCTGCTGCTCTGCCTTGACCTTCACCGGTTCCTCTTTAGCTGTACTGCTGGCCTGAAATCATTGCGGTCCCCTGTGCTTTTCCAGGCCAGCAGCAGCAGTCTGTCACCGCGGGGAAGTTCCTCTTACAGCAGTGCCAAGTGGAAAGTCCTGCGGCGCCAACGGGGCGCAGGGCCTCCCGGAATATTTCAGGGTGTTCTGCTGATGAAGTTCCTCACGTTACACTTGTCTGATGATTGAGCAAGTGAGAGCTTTCTGCTTGCTGTCATCTGAACCCAGGACTCATCCAGAGGACGGTGCTGTGCTTAACTGAACGGTTCAGAGCGGGAGCGTGACTGCTCATACCTGACGCTTCACGGGGGCCTGGGGCCACAGTGCAGTTAGGGGAATTGCTGCCATGAGCTCCGCTAGGATGCAGGCGCTCTCCGTGTGTGCTGAGACGCTTTGGTCATTGCCGCCGTGTTGGTTAGCTCTGACGCAGCAGTACTCGGTGCTGTACGTACACTGCGGTGTTGTCCTGCCCCAAGGTCTGTAGCCTCACTTGAATAGGGTATAGACAATTGCAAAAACGGGTGGGATGACGGGCGATGTCTTCCTTTTTGTAGCGTGAGCTCCTCATTGACTTAAAGCTGCTTACTGTCCCTGCTCAGCCAAGGGTAGGGACAGCCACGTTCATCCAAGACAAGAGCACCGACTCCTTTATGGGACCGCACTCGGTTAGCAAACCCTGCTGCGTGTGTCCCCATGCCATGCGGGAAGAGGCTGGGGTCTGTGCAGGCCTTGGTTGTAGCGTGACAGCAACTGGAGAGGGACGTCTGGGCTGTGCTCCTTGCCGGGAACAGGGCAAGCGGCAGTTGGGACGTCTTGTTCCTGTGGAAACACTCAAGTTTCAAGTTAATCCCCGCCATGACACATGCCTGAAAATCTTTTCTCTGCAGATGCTTCTGCCTTAGTTCTGGAGCTGTTGGAAGTACAAATATGAAGGAGAACTTTGTTAAATGTTTGTTGCGAAAATCTTACGTGGGGAAAAATATGTCTTAATTCCCTGTCTTGGAGAAAAGTCTGGATCAGCTTTGGCCGTGGTTGTAATGCAGTGCCTGGAGAAGGGCATGTTATGCCAATGCCACTGGGGTCCCTCCTGCCGCCTTGGCAAATGCCCTAATTTGGAGCTAGGAAAAGATTGCATGATTGAAGACTTTTGGAAAACAGAATTTGGTTTCTACCCAAAAACGCAGGCCTGCTTGAAATAGCTCCTTGCCTTAGGCTGAAGGAATTTCCTGCAGAGGCGAAATGTTGCCCTCCGCTGGGAGCATGGAGCAACTCTGAGTAGACACCAGAACAACAACTTACTAAAATGGCAGCATTTAGTACCTGACTGTGCCAAAGCCCTGTCTGCCCAGTCCCTTGCTCTGCCTTACATGCGACTGCGATGTCCGTAGTGAAACATCCTGCTCTGGGGCTGGAGAGGAGGTCGCAAGGGCTGGGTGAACACAGGAAAGCTTATACCAGGCAGCTTAAATCTACCCCCAGCGTGGGGCTGGTGGAAAATCATCCCAGGTCCTGGCTTCCTGGGCAGTTTGCAGTGTGGCCCGTGTCTCTGCAGTTCTCCCTGCCTGTCCTGAGCGTTAATACGATCCCAGCGTTATGGCACTCCTGCCTCGGTGTCAGTCATCACTTACCTTCAGTCAATGTTGTTCTTTCAAGTAACTGAAGTAACGTGGCAGTGCTAATGTCCCCCGGCCCTTGAGGCTCAAACAGCCGAAGGAAGGTGGAGATGGGGAAATGATTGCAATTTTGGGGCTGGCGCTGTGCTCTTTGGGGCCCTGACTCCTGACTTGCAGTGGGGATTGGTGGAGCTGAGGTGGGGGGCAGTTCCCCGGGGGCAGACAGGGCTGCTCAGAGCAGTGGCAGCTTGCTCCCAGGCAAGGGGACAGGCCAGGCAGGCAGCTCCGACCATGGAGGCGCCCCCGAGGTGCTCCCTCTTGGCTCTCTTCTCCCTGCCTTCCCGCCTACCTTTCTTGGCAAGGGATGCGCCTGTGTAGGATGACTTGTGTTAGGGCATCTTCAGTGAACGGGAAAGGCTGGACGCGGCTTCGGAGAGGGCTGATGTGCCCAGCCAGCACGTGCGCGCTGACACTGTTTGCACTTAACAGCTGCTCCGCAGAAACTGCTGGTTGAGTCTTGCAGAATGAGGCACCGAGGCCCCTCCAGCAAATGCCTTTTGGCTTTCAAATAATCGGGGACCTTCTCCAGTGCTGGAGCAAGTGACCAGCCCCGGTGCAAGGGGAGGGTCATGTGGAGGTTGGGCCCGGCTCTCCTAACCCGAGCTTCGTTGTCCTCTAGGAGACGGAGCTCCCTCGGCAGCATCCCAACGAGATCCCCCACAATGAGAAACTTCTGTCGCTCAAGTATGAGGTGAGTGCCCGGTTCTCTCCCTCGGCTGCCTCTTGCCCCTTGGGAGCTGCCCTCTGACAAGCAACAGGCGATACACCTGGGGTAGCCGGCACGGTAGCTTACAGCTGCCGAGCTGGTGTGAAGTGGTCAGAAAGATCCCTGTTTGCCCTTGGAGGGATTTTGGAAGGGAAAGAAAGGGTCAAGGGAGGAAAAGAAGCAGGACTGGGGATATGCGGTGGGGCAGGGATGGGGGTCTGAGGCCAGGCCTCCTCTAGCACAGGCATATTTCTTGCATATGAGACATTAATGGCATCTCCCTTTTCTGAACTAGAGCCTGGACTATGACAACAGTGAAAACCAGCTGTTCCTGGAGGAGGAAAGGAGGATAAACCACACGGTGAGTCTGGCCACGACCCGATTGCGTTGCTCGTGGACCCTGACAAGCCTCTGGCAAGATGGCCCTGCTGAGATGAGGCCTGGAGAAGCTGTTCCCTGTCTGCCTGGCTGCTTCCTGAGTAGCTAGTGGACTTCCCCGCGCTGCGGGGAGATCGTGCTTGGAAGCAGCTCCTGAGCTATGCTTGGTTTACCAGTAACAACCAGTTTGTAATGAGCTACAAAACCTCAGGAGAAGGATGGCCAGCTACCACAGGAATCCAGTATGGTCAAATGAAGGGTTCAAATGGGAACTAGTCCATGTACACGTGGTGACATTGCCTAATTGTATGGGGCGGGTCACTGGGCAGGAACGTCTGGAGCTGCACAGAGCATTTGAACTAGGGGAGCTCTTGCCCTGAGAGCTTTGGGAGTCAATACTCCAGGGAGAGACGCAACAGGAGAGTTTGTGCTGAGAGAGAGACCTGATGAAGGCAGAAGAGCTGGAAAAACATGTCTTCTGTTTAAGGATCCCTCACAGCGAGGGCACTGGGTGCTGGCTTAAGATAGGTAAATAATGGCCAGCCTTTGCAGTCCTGGGTCAATCTATGCTGGTTTTACTGGGGCAGCTCTCCTTTGAGAAGTGGGGTTCTCCTTAGGGTTGTGTTGGAGAAGGTTGCTGCGTGGGTTTGAGTCGTCCCGTTGCTCTGGGGCTGTGCGGCAGCGGTGTCTCATGGCTGTCTGTCTCTCAGGCGTTCCGGACAGTGGAGATCAAGCGCTGGGTCATCTGTGCCATGATCGGCATCCTCACCGGCCTTGTCGCCTGCTTCATTGACATTGTGGTAGAGAACCTGGCTGGGCTGAAGTACCGTGTGGTGAAGGACAGTATCCTTCCAGCCCAGGGTTGCGGAGCAGCAGGCAGCACAAAGCCACGGCCTCCGGCTAGCTGGGAGTTATGGGATCTGCTGCAGAGATGTCTTGTGTTCTCTGCTTCTGGTGGCTGCGAGAGGGTTGCTGGGGGAGAGGGAAGTGCTTATCTGCATGGGTTTGCTGATACCGATGCAGGTCCTGCTGCCTAGTGGCAGGCGGCTCTGCAGTGCTGACCTGTGTCTAGGCAAAAGAGACCCTTGCAGCAGCCCCAGCTCTAGCTGGGCAGACGAGCTGTAGTGCATGTGCAGGATCTGGTGTGCCTGCTGCAGCCCGAGAAGCACCTTGGTGATGCTTTGTTGCAGTGGGAGGGATGTTACCCAGCTGGTATAGCCCTTTCCTTGAGCCACCTCTGCAGACATCGACAAGTTCACAGAGAAGGGGGGCCTGTCTTTCTCCCTGTTGCTCTGGGCGACCCTGAACGCCAGCGTCGTGATGGTGGGCTCCGTTATCGTTGCGTTCATAGAGGTAAGAGTTCAGAGCTGGTCAGGGAGGGGGTCCTCTGTGTGCTTCCTGCCCCAGCTCCTTGCATGGGGTGGGGAGCAGGTTTGTGTCCCTGCATGGGTCTGAATCCGACAGCACAACCTGCTGCACCTGGGAGGGGTTTATGAACCGTGTGGGTCAGTCCGCCCTTGGGGCGTGATTGGGACTGCCCTGGGTGCTGTCAGGTGTCTGAGAAAACATGCAAGTTTGTGTAACACCCATAGCATTTCTGCTGATTGGGCTCTTGTTTACCCCCAGTTCCTTGGTGTTGGCAGGGAAGTGGCTCCAGCTGTGGCATAAAGTTTCTCCTCAGGTGTCAAAGTGGCAGGACGTGCTGCCCTTCATTTGCTGCCCCAGCAGCTTGGGGCAAAGGAGCTGGCTGGGAGAGGTACTCTAGCCTTGGAAGTAGGCACAGCTCTTATGAGCTGTGTCCGTTTATGCAAGGCTCGGACCTGGCTCAGCCTCTCCGTTTCGCGTGTACGTGAGCGTTTGCAGAGAGCAGGCTGGTGAAGTGCCTTGGAGACGTGCTCAAGAGGAAATTTGCAACTGGCTGATGATCTCTGGCGGCAGATTATGGCCGGGCTGTGGACAATCACTTTGTATGGAGTCACTTTCTGAGTCAGCAGTGTCTTCCTTGCTGCTTTGCCCTTGCTCTCCTGCAGAACTCTCCCTGCTGTCAAGCGTGAGCCTTCTACAGTGCTCCTTGCCTTGGCATCATAGTGCGGGTAGGCATGGTGGGGACACCAGGAACCCAGCTGGCTCCTTATCACTGCCATGTTTGCCCTTAAGGGAAGCCTGCCCGCAGAAGCACGGTGGTAGCCTCTCCCTCAAGCCTACCTCCAGAGCCTTTAGATAGGCTTTGACCTCATCTCTGATCCTCTCTGAGGAAGCGCAGGGTGTGATCTGTGCTGAGGGATGGGGACAAGTTGGCCAGCAGGTCCCCAGTGCCCTGTCCTGTACTTAGCAGCCACTAACGGTCTTCCGGTACCCGCAGCCTGTAGCAGCCGGCAGTGGCATTCCCCAGATCAAGTGCTATCTCAATGGCGTGAAGATCCCGCACGTTGTCCGGCTGAAGGTGAGACACGGGAGCTTGCGGGATGCGTGCGTTCTGGGTGTGCTGCCACTCGGGTGGACCGAGCGTGTTGTGTCCTTGTGCTGTAGGGCTTTCTCTGTTCGCGCTAAGGCAGGGATGGGAGCTGGCCTGGGCTCCCGGCAGTGGCAGCCCTCCTGCACTGCCCTCATCTATAGCCGTTAACTGCTGTGCCGCCCAGTTAAACCTTTAATTTGCTGCCTTGGTGTCTACAGCCCTTGTGCTCGGTGCCAGGCAGTGGCTGGAAGAGCAGCTTTGAGGAATTTTTGCCCTGAGCAGGGGCTGGCCAGGAAAATTGCAGGTGAAAACATCGGCCAACCTGGTTGTCACAACAGGCACTGACGTGGGGCCGAGAGTCGGAAGTTTCCTGGCGTTTCTGGCTCCTGCCCTTTTGGGTAGTTGAGTCTGTGTCCTCTGTGGCTGCTGCAGTCCATTGTGTGCATGGTCTAGTGTCCCAGTGCAACAGCGCGTGCTGTTCCTGCTGCCCTTGTAATGTGCCCTGTGTCTCTTGCCGTTTTGCAGACCCTGGTGATCAAAGTCTGCGGAGTGATCCTCTCGGTGGTCGGAGGCCTGGCTGTTGGGAAGGTGAGGTGCGCAAAGGGCTCCCTGGCTTGCTGCTGGTGCATTGGGCACACGTGCTGCATCACCGGCTCTGCGCTGGGGGCTGGTGGCCCTGCAGGGACTTCCCAGTTTCACTCCCTGTTCTGCTGACCCAGGTGACTGCAGCGTGGCCGGGCTCAGGCAGTAGCAGGGGACAGGGATGCTGACTTGCTGGGCACGCAGTGCCACTGAGCCAGCTGGCGTGGGGCTCAGCCGAGGGCAGGAGAGCAGCCGCCTGCGGCTGTCTTCGTGGTTCTCCCGCCACGTGTTAAACGGGGGAACCCAGCGTGCCCTGCTGGGACCTCGCTGGCTGGCTAGGGTCGTAGGCTGCTTGAGAAATCTCCTGAATTTGTCGAAAAGCAGCCCTTGTAAGCCCCTACCCTCCCCGCTGGTGGGAAGAGGAGGTGGCTGCAGGAGCTGCCACTAGAATGAGGAAGTAGGGGGAAAATGCAAGGGGAAGGAAATCTTCTTGGGCCGGGTCTGTACAGACAGAGCTGGTATAAGTCTAGCATGCCACTGGGTGGCTGAGTGCTGGCGTCTGGCTTCAGGGTGATGACCTGGTGAGCGGCATTCAAACTTCTCACTGAGCCTGGGGAAGCCTAGGCTGCTTCCTTCTCCTCTCTGACTCCACTTTCCTGTCTGTAGGAAGGACCTATGATTCATTCAGGGGCGGTGATCGCTGCTGGGATCTCGCAGGGAAGATCCACGTCCTTGAAGCGAGACTTCAAGGTGGGTCTGGAAGGGCGGAGGGGCTGTGCTGCTGCAGGTGCTCCAGCCACCACGGCTCTCCTCTCTGGACTTCCCCAGCGGGGAGTCGAGCACCACGTGGCTCCAACTGCTCTTGTGAACTCCAGCAAAGGGCTTCTGCCTCCCTGCTGTGGCTTGGGGCCCACCAGATGTCAGCACCTGAAAGACCTTGGCCTGTTTGAGGAGTGTGAGCTCTGGAAAGGAAGGTGCAGGCAGAGCTCTGCACCTAGGAGCAGAGGGGGTTGGTGGAACAGCTTGGCTGCCTTTCCTGGGACGCCAGCTCAGTGGTACTGGAGTCTGGCTTGGGGCAGTGGAGCTCTGACCTCTTTGGGGCAGGTGCTTGGAGGGAGAAAGGGAGCTCTGGTCTCCAGCCAGAGCTACCTGAATCCCTTCCTGTGCCACCATCAATGCCCAAACTGGGCCACTCCTTGAGTCACGCAGGTGGTGCATGGTCGCACGTGATCTGCCTGCATGCTCGGAGCCCTGCAGCAACCTGAGCTCGTCAACCCTGGTGAAAGACCTCTGGCGCTGAGAACTGAGCCCATCCAGTTCTGCCTAGCAGCCTGCCTCTTCCTCTGAGCTCATGCCTTTGGCCAGCCCTGAACCTGCCTTTGCTTTGGTGTTTCAGATCTTCGAGTACTTCCGTAGAGACACAGAAAAGAGGGACTTTGTCTCAGCTGGAGCTGCTGCTGGTGTCTCTGCTGCATTTGGTGCTCCTGTGGGTATGTGTCTCTGTTGTCCCGACGCTGAATGGTGCCTCCATGCAGGTCCCATCAGGAGGTTGCTCCCACTTACGTGGGGGCAGCTGCAGGCATCTGCCTGGAGAACTGCAGGAACCTGGATTTATGGAGAGGGTGACAGCAGGGTGCCCTGCAGTACAGACAGGGAGAATGTTTGCATAGAAAAGAAGTGTCTGGTGGCGTCTGGGAGAGCTGGTGGTTTTCCCAGGCAGGTTGGGAGGAGGGAACAGCGTCAGGAGAGCCCAGCATGCACTTTCTGAATCGAATGCCCGCCCGGGGCCAGGTCACACATGGGGGGAATGCCCGAGCGACCGAAACTGTTGCGCTGCTGTCCTCTGACAGCTCCAGGACTGGGAAGGGAAGGAGCTGCTCCGCTGTTTGGCTGCAAGCAGCAGGCCCTCCTGCAAAGTGCCACTATGAGCTATCCTGCCCCATGATGCAGGTCTTGGGAAGAGAAGGGGCTCATGTCTGCGACAGAGGGGGGCAGTGACGGGGCTTCATCGTGATCAGTACATCATTGATGGCAGGGTGGCTCAGCTGAATGCTGGCCACTTTGCTGGAGCCTGTAAGGTGTGGGTTGGGGTGGGGAGCATGGGCCGCGATGACTGCGGCTTCCTCGGCCGGTGCTGTGAGCCGAGGGGCTGTGGCACGCGCCTGCTGCAAAAGGGCTTGTCTCGCGTTTGCAGGGGGTGTCCTCTTCAGCTTGGAGGAAGGGGCTTCCTTCTGGAACCAGTTCCTGACGTGGAGAATTGTAAGTGCTGGAAAGCAGAAGCAGTAAACTGGGGGCTCTGGGTGTCCGTGCCCAAGAACCCCACGGCTCATTGGGTCCCACTTGAGGGCCTCTGGTGTCCTGAGCCGACTGTGCGTCTCGAGACCAGCCCTTTCCTCCACAGCCCCAGGAGCTCTGCCCCAGCGAGGCCTCTGCATTGCTGTGGCCGTCAGGATCTGTTTAACGCAGGCTGTGCTGGCCTTTGGGATTGGACCCAGCAGCTCTGTGCTTCTTCCCATCCCTGCTCCAGCTGGGTGGCCATCTAATGCATCCCAGGGAACAGGGCATCCCAAATCCCCTTCTGGCCTTTGTGGGCTGAATTTGGACCTGGCCGAGCTGGATCTCGGTCCCTGAGGCTGCTGGCTCCTTTTCCAAGGGAGCTGCCTTGGGCTGCGCTGCAGGGCGGTGGAGAGACAAAAGGAAGGAGTGAGCCTGTGGTCACTGTAAGCTCCCCAGTGTGGCACCATAGGGAACGTGGCTGCTTGTCCCTGCTACGTCCTGAGTGCCCAGGCCCGCCCAAGGTCCTCAAGGGGTGGCTTGGAGCAAGGAGGAGGGCGTGTGGCGGTGGGAGCAGTGCCGGACACGTCCGGCAGTGACCCTGGGCTGCATCTTTTTCTAGTTCTTTGCCTCCATGATCTCTACGTTCACTCTGAACTCTGTCCTGAGCGTGTACCATGGCAATGCTTGGGATCTCTCCAGCCCTGGGCTCATCAACTTTGGCAGGTTTGATAATGAGGTATGGCACAGGTATACCTCTGGGGGACTCTTCTGGGGCATTTTAAAGAAGCCTAGGGCAGCTGGGGCCATCAATCCCTCTTATAGCGTTTGCCTAAGGGCCAAGTTGGGCTTTGCCCTAGCAGGCCCTGTGCCAGGCAGGGGTTCTGCGCCAGCCGCTGCTGGACTGGGTGCTGCAAGGGTGTCGCAGCCCTGTGGGGTGTCCAGGGGAGCAGTTGCGGCAGCTCCCCGGGCCGCTCGCTGGTGCAGGCTTATGCTGTCTGAGTAGAGAGTGACCAGCTGCAAATGTGCCAGGAGATCTGAAACCTGTGTCTGTCTTGCTTCCAGAAAATGGGATACACGATCCAGGAAATTCCAATCTTCATATTTATGGGAGTAGTTGGTAAGAGAGTTCTGCTCTTTCAATTTGATTAGTCTGAATAATTTCCTCTGTTCCTTGTCAGCCCACGAAGACCTTCTGGATCCGTTTTCCTGGGGAGAGTGGGAAAACCATTAAGCTCTGGAGCAGAGGCTGCTTGGGGCTTACAGGGTCCGGAGCCAGATCCTGAGACCCCTTAACCTCTGTGCTGCGAAGCGCGTCGCAGTCACGGACGGTGCTTTGCTTTCAGGAAAGGCCTGAGAAGAGCTGCAGCGCTTGAGCTGCCTTTGCCCTTATGGAAGGGGAGAGGGGGCACATAGGGTGCTCCCTGTGCGCCTGGAAAGCCGGCTGTGCTCGGCCTCAGGGCTGCCGGGTGCTGGGGTGTGGGTGCTGGCCCTGGTGCTGTGGAGGTGCTGTGGGGACCTGTCAGGAGGCACCAAGAGCAAAGCTGCTCAGTAAATCCAGCCTTGCGGCCCCTGAGCTTTTGCCTGCGTGCTGAGTTTTTGGTCTTTTGCACTTGCAGGCGGGATCCTCGGGGCCCTGTTCAATGCCCTGAATTACTGGTTAACGATGTTTCGAATCAGGTAAGAACCCGCAGGATGTCTAAGCTGGTCAAAATGGGTTGGCTGGAGCCTTCTGTGCTCCCTGGAAGCAGCATTCCCAGCCAGAGCCAGGCTGTAACCTTGTGAGTAACGTGTGAAACAGCCCTTGGAAGCTGGGAGACAAAGATACAACATGCCTCTTGCTGCCTGCAATCGAGGCTTTGGCCTGCAGCGTCCTACCTTTGCTCTGACCATCCTAAGTATCTCCCTTTAGCAAGTGGAGGGCCCAAAGAGGTGCAAGCAAACACTGCACAGACTGGCTCTTTCGTGTTAGTGCCAGGGCTCGGAGAGCTGCTGAAGCTGTCAGATCCCAATCTGGCACTGCCACTGCTTGGCACCAGCTTTTCAAACCCTGCGAGTGGCCTGGCGGTCTCAGGGAGGGATTGCCTATGGCAGCAGAGCTGGGGAAGAGCCCGCAGCAGCATCCAGGACACCCCTCCTCATGGGGCTTCATGAGACCCAGCTTTGGGGGGTGCAGGAGCTGTTCCTGTCCCACCATGGGGGTGTCTGCCTTCCTGGCTCTGTGCAGGACAGATGAGCACGGCCGGCTGGAGCGAGGTGGGTGAAGCTGCTCTTGCTGCTGGCGTCTGGCCCCAGCTCCCTACAGCGGTTATATCAGAGGACAGACACCAGGACAGCATGTGCCGTGGGTTTCCTCCCTCAGCGTGCCTCGGTCCAGGCTAGCAGCAAAGCCAGGGCTTGTGCGCAGCTAAGAGTGGGTCGAGGAGCTCCTGGGCCTCCCAAAGAACCAGCTCTGATCACTTTAAAGGGCTCCCGGAGCTGGCAGCTCTTCTCCCTCTCCTGCCACAGCCACTGCTTCTCTCGGGCCCACGGGGTTTGCTTGCAGCCCATCGCCTTGCGTTCCTGGGCGCCGCTGGGGCAGAGCGGGACTCACGTCTCTGCTTGCTCCCCAGGTACATCCACCGGCCCTGCCTCCAGGTGATTGAGGCCATGCTGGTCGCAGCGGTGACAGCGGCCGTGGGGTTCGTCATGATTTACTGCTCCAGGGACTGCCAGCCCATCCAGGGGAGCACAGTAGCCTATCCCCTGCAGGTAGGAGATGCTGGAGAACGGCCCCACCAGAACTGCGGGAGACCCTGATCCTGAGTGGAGGCTGAGGGCTGAGCGTGGAGATGAGACCCCACCGGTTCTTGTGGCCTTGGGCCTTGCTGGTTCCCCCTGTAGCAGTCAGCGGCTCCCACCCCGGGTAGGGTTGGAGACCTAAAGTGCAGTGAACAGTACATGGCTCCGCTGGCCAGCCCAAACGAAACGTTTGGAAGAGCAGCAAGCGATCTTTGCAGCTGAGCCTTAGCTTGGCAGGGGCAGAGGCGAAGGTGCAGGCAGGCTGGCAGTCACCAGCCAGCCTAGTAGCTTGTCCCATGGGTGAAGCTGTGATGCAGTAGCGTGGAAAAGGTGCAGATAAGCCCTGCAGCCCTTAACGTACCTCTTGGGCGTTTTACTAAGCGCCGCAAAGAAATATCTAATGCTACTAGTCCTGGGAACATAAAAAGCATCTCTTTTGTTCCTGTTTCATTTACTTTTCCTCCTATATGGTGATGCCCCATGTGCCGAGTCCTTGACTCGGCAAGAACATCCCAGACCCTGGAGTTTTCCCCAGGCTGCTTCTCCCTGTAACACCCAGCTCTGAGACGCAAGCCTTGGCCGGGTTGCAGCGTTGTTTGGCTTTTCTCTGCCTCCACAGCCAGAGAGCTGGGTGGAAACGCCGCGAGGTTGGCGCACTCGCAGCGTAGGAATCGCTGCCTTGCTGGCGCTCGCCACCTCCCCTCCGCGGCTGGCAGCGAGCCCCGCGCCTGGCAGCCTTCCCTGCCCCGGGGCAGCCTGGCTCTGCCGCCTCCTCCTCTGCTTCTCTTTTCCTTCCACCTCAGCTTTTCTGTGCGGACGGAGAGTACAACTCCATGGCCACCGCCTTCTTCAACACGCCCGAGAAGAGTGTCGTCAACCTCTTCCATGATCCCCCAGGTCTGTGTGTCCTTGGATTCGGGCAGAGCGGGGCAGAGCTTGAGCGTGCCGGTCGGCCGGTTCCCTCTTTGCCGGCGGGACGAGGCGGGGGGGAAGATCGGCGCAGCCCCGTGAGGGTGCGATGGGATCTGGCAAGGCGCTGTGCTGGGAGGGACAGGAAGCGAGTGGCCGTTTCTCGCGGTACGAGAACGAGTCGGGGTGCCCGCTGCGGGGCAGCAGGCTGGGCGCGCAGGGGGAGCGCCAGGAGGCACTGTTGCAGGACGTTGCGAAGGCTGCGAAGGGGTCCAAAAGCCGTTTGGTGAATTTGGGGAGGGCAGATCCTCTGGCAGTAGATAGGCAGACACGGACCATCTCCGCAGCGTGCGTCTCCAAGCGCTCGCAGTCTCCCGCCCGCAAAGTGAGTGCGGCAAGAGAGCAGCTCTCGGCAGGGGTGATCTGCGTAGCCACGTGCTGATCCGTTAGTCCAGCTCTGCGGGGCCCCTCCTGGAGCCTTGGAGGCAGTGAAGGTGGCGACGTCACCAAGAGGCCTCTTGACTTGACAAAACCAAGTGCCTTCCCCAGGCTGGTCCGTGCGGTGTTGCAAACGGGAGGTGGTCAAGCTTCTCTGTTTTGTACTGGTGAACGAAACCTGGTTTTGAACAGCAAAGCTGTTGCTTCCCTGGACATCCAGAGACTTCTGCTCCTTGCCTGCAGTGGGTGAAGGCAGCGGAGGGAGGAAGGATGGGTGCTCACCCTTGCGAGCTCAGCCCGAGGGCTGTAGTCCTGGGGGAGCCCGTGGACGAGGACGCGGTTGCGCTCGCGCCTGTTCTCGAGCTATTGTTTCCGAGTTGTGTGGGAGCAACTGGAGTCTGTTCTGGAAATATCCCTGCATGTTTTCTTACTTAGCAGGGCCTCTTGCCCCCAAATGACTTTGCCATCTGGGCAGGCTGCGGAGGTGGATTTTGGGGCTTACGTTTGCTCGAGAAATCGGATTCAGCTTCCAGTGCCCCCAGGGAGCCGAGTCCGAGCTCCGATTTCCCTCGGACACTGGGGAACGCTAACGCGCGCTCTGCCTCCTGGGCGCCAGGCTGTGTTTCGTGCCAGCTGGCGCGTGGGCGGCAGAGGGACCGCTCTGAATTTATAGACTTGTAGCCCAGAACTGCAGCTCGACCATTTCAAGTGGTGACAACTGTCCCGTGTCCCGGGGCTGTTCCCTGCGGTGCTTGAACCTCTCCCTGGCTCAGTGCTTTGCTTGAGGAGAAGTTGCCAAGGACGTGTTCAAACCGGAGACTGAATGGCTTGGCGGTCCTAAAATAGTGGTAGGCCGAGTCCAGGGGTGGCAGGGTCTCGCCGCTCATGGATGGCGTGATGGCACAGCCGGCAGCATGGGAGCTGCGGGATGGGGAGGCAGGGTGTCAGCTCAGCAGAGCAGGCCCAAACCTGGCTCTGAAACCCCCGGAGGACCCCTGCCAGCCCACCAGCACCCGTCCTCCCGTCACCTGACGCTGGCAGCCCCC